CTACTAGGTTATAGAACAACAAGTAGATTTTTCTCTTTAGTGGAGTTTAAGACACTGTTTCCATATACCTACCTTGGTTATGCACAGATCACTCAAAGCTAGAAAGAGGTGTCAGTGCCTTCTGTCTCCATTTTGGTGGGCAACCCATTGGAGAGATCCCAGGTGAATAATATAAATAGATTTTCTGAAAAGAAAAAAAAAAGTTTCAAAGAACCTGATTTTTTTTTTTTTACAGCTTGTTCTCAAGTGAGAATGCTGTGTGTGTTTTACAGAAAATGAAAGTTGGAGGACTGTAAGAAATGCTACTTTTCTGTGAACAGATGAGCTACATCCAAAATGAAAAAGAAGTTTTTTTCTAATTATTTTTGTTTTTTTAAATCAATTCTCTGTGAAACTTATTTTTGTCATTAGTTATGAATAATTCTTATATTCTGTATATGTTTGTGTGTGTACATACATTATAATTATGCTGTTACATTGGAAACATTTTCAATAAAGTCAGTTTCTCAAAGCACATAAAGAACTAGAAACTGGGGGTTTCAAACTCAGGTTTGGCTAAGTAGAGGATACTCTCTAATTTGTCTAGCAGAAGAAAAGAAAGATAATTACTTGGGTTTTACAGGGCCTGAAGGTATAATTCTAGGTGGAATATTGTGGCGCATTTGAGTATATTTCTAACATTGTCCTTGTGCATCCAATTGCAGTAATTTCGTGGTCTCTTCTGTTAAAGTTTACTCTCCCATCTTTGTTACAAAGATGGGAATTTTTAGTTTAGACCACAGTATGATGATATATGACTGAGAACACTACAGTATCATGTCACTCTTAAATTAATCAAAACTTCTGGAGATGCAAACTATGATACCCTGAGCTCGAAAAATTAAGCAGGTTTAACAATTTCCTATGTGAGATACTCCCAACTCAGCTGAAAAGACTTGAATGTTTGCCTCTTGTTCAAAATAGGACCTGGCATTTCTTCACTGATTTTAATGGTTATTTTTTTTGTTGCTTTCTTTTCTGGTCAAGAAGACTAGCTGGTTTTACTTCTCCTGTAATAAAATCTTCTGCTTTAATTCTGACAAGTGCAGACACGCTGTTAGAGATTTAAGCGATTTTGAAAGATGTGTAATGGGTTAGAGTTCAGTGTAGTGCTGTTAGCTGCTCCCTATCGCTGGAGGTGACAAGGGAGAAGGTAACTGAGGGAGTAAGAGAAGGTTTGTAGTGCTGATCCCCATCTCCTTGCATTAGTGGATTCATTTTCAGGGCTTAACTTGGCAAGTTTTCCTTATGTCGATGGGTGCTAATGCAGTTAGGTCTGTGAGGGTGTTGCAGGAAGGAATGAGGGTGTTGTTGGAAGGAATACTGTGATAAATGAAAGGGGCACACTCTTAAATAAGTTTTTTCCAATAGTTGTCATCTGTGTTTGCTTTAACATCTTGGAATGTTAGGTCTGCTTTCTGCTGCTGGCCAGGTATGGAAGTGATGGTGAGTCATAAGCAAATGCAGACAGTAGAGGAGAAGAGTGGGTTTTGAGCCAGAGGGTCAGAGGAAGAGGGGAGGTTGTGGTGCACCTGGCAGCTGCAGTTGGCAGGTGGTTTTTTGTATTTATACCAAAATCTGGAACAGGAAATGAGATTGAGTGAGGAGATTGAAAATGAAGAGAGTCCTCCTTAAGTAATGAGTTATGAGCTCTCTTGACTACTCCAGATTGTGGCAGTGGGATTCTGTTTTGTTGTTGTTGGTTTGGTTTTTTGTTTTGTTTTTTGTTTGGTTTGGTTTTTTTGGATTTAATTAGGGCTAGCCTCAAGCTTAGACCAGACCTGAACTTAGTTATTGAATTGACAAAGAGAATTATTGCCGATTTGTGAGGAGGAACTGTTACTGATTATCTCTGAACAAAACACAAATGTAAATTAAATAGCACATAAGGTAAAATGTAGAGTTAGTAGCAGTTACCATTAGTTCTGCTTTTATTTTCCTGCTGAGGTCTGCAGCCAACTGGGATGTTAATTGCTTTTCATTTTAAACATGGTAATACCCTGCAGCATGGTCAGTAGGAATACAGCCATGTTAAACCTAAAGTTACCTTAGGGTCAGTTTGAAAAAAAAACAACAAAACAAAACAACAGAGAGTATCTCTCTTTAGAAGTAGTGAATACATTTTCAAAACAAAACAAACAGTTGAGACTACTGTTTTTAGAAGTTCAGTTTTAAGGTACTTCCCCTACTTCACACTAATGTGAAGGACTGCATTGCAGTTCCTGCCCTGGATTAGCAGCCATCAGAATCTTGAATTCAAAGAGAATGGCAGATCTGTTTTATTTAACCTTATAGAACAAGCATGACTGTAGTGCTTGAATTTATATAGAGATTTTTCTCAAAGTTTCAGAAAAGTGCTAGGCATGTTTAGAAATGAGTGACTACACACTTCAATTAGTGCCACTAGAAGGTATTGAAATTACACTCCTTCAAAAAGATTGGGCAGTTTGGAAAAGTTATAGCTAAATATTGTTGCTACAGTTGTTCCCTGGAGGTGAAAATAAGGCCTACTTTGGTTAAAGTATCTTGAAAAGTGTTTAAGATACCATTAACGTGATACCATGATTATTTCCACACTGCTTTTGCAGATGCCTACTAGGAAAGAGTTCTCCTTGGTGCGTTTGACCTGTAGGCATCTGCCTGTGTGTGCGTACAAGAGATACTGTTCCGTGGGTGTCTGATCCTTACAGGTGGGATGGTGGAGTGGTGGTGTGCAGAGGTCATCTGGCTTCATACCAGCCTTCTTAGGCCATGTAGAAAGCTTTTTGCATGAGCTACAATGTGCCCACAGGAGTGGAGAACAAAGAAAGGGAATATAGTTTTAGTCTTGGGAACAGCTTTATATGGCACAGTGGAAACTCCTGAACCTTTCAGTCCGCCATTCACTATTAGCAGGATTGTCCTACAACACAAATCAGTAGAAGTGCTCTGTGTATATATTCTGGGTCCTAGGACCCTCACTGCTGTTGATCTGCAGGTGATTTTTCAGCATATATTCATTTTTCACTTTATTTGTGCCTTATACCAGCTTGATCTGACAGCCGTAGGTGACACACTGCTGCTCCTCTGAACCAGACAGAGAATTACAGTGCCCAAGCACTGCTTGTGTGTGCTGTGGTGCAGGGAGTGTAGGGGATCTCTTGCCATATCCATGCTGCTTACAGCAACTGCGTAGGAGGCAGGGAGATCTCATGGGTGCCCCTGTGCACAGCTGACTGGGAGGCAGAGGAGAGTAAAGCGTCTGGGGTGCTAGAGCTATAAATCCTGTCAAAAATATGAGATATCATAGCTGACCTAAATCAAGACAAACTTTTCGGTGATTCTCATAACTTGTGCATTCCTTTCACATGGTTCACCAAAGCTGTTTATATTGCAAAGTCCTACCCACCAACCCTTGACTTTGAAGCTCCCAGAGGAATAATACAACCATCAGGACAGAGAGTGGTATTTCATGTTTTTTCTTACCTTCACGGTTACAGTGGGTCGTAAATGTGAGGCACTGTATGTAATACTGTTTTTGCAACTCTCTGTATATTAATCATTGTTAAGAGTTCACATACTACTCAATTAATTACCTATGCCCACTTGGGAGCATATATCAAAACTGGTGGTTTCTGGTTTTCATGTCACTTGTTAATAATGACCCCCAAATGAAAATCTGATTTCAATTACATTTCTGAAATAAATTAGGCTCTTTGTTTCATGTAGAATGCCACTTGGGTAGACAACTGTATTTCTGCTCTCTTAAATATTCCCTTGAAACATTTTGCCAGACTCACTTTTTGTTTAATCAGTATTGATCAGTGATACATGTAGGTCTACAACATACATGTCTGTAGGCACAGACATACCTATCTGGTTGGTTATTCCAGTAAAATCCATTATTCTGGTCTAAATCTAGCACTGTATTTGGAGAATGTTTGTGGTGGCTGAAAAAAACAATGAACCGCTTAAATCCAAGCAATGCTGTAATGATGGGTGGAGGTAAAAAGCTCTTGAAAGAAACAGAAAGCACTTCTTTCATCAAGTTCACTTATGGTTCAGTTGTCAAGCTGCGATCCAGAGATGTTCTGCATTTCTTCAGCATTGTTGCCCAAATTCTAAATCCCCGCATATAAGATTATACACCATTATACCCAGTACATTTCACTACATGCTCATGAGCTGTGGATTAGATTACTGTAATTCATATCTGTCATCTGGAGTTAATACTAATAATTACAAATTGCAATCAAGGAACTATTTTGTTGCATTATTTGTTGTATTTAAATGCAGATAATGAAGTAAGCTCTGAAGTAAGCAAAATGATCTGAAAAGGGCACATTTATCTTACCTTACTTGTGGAGTTATCACAGTTGCAGTTTGTGGTAGTGCTTTGATAGTATTGTCTAGGATTTTCTTACATTGAAATAAATCACATGTAAAAGTTTTATTTTGAAGTTTGGACAGTGTTATTCAGTGCTCACAGCATGGACATGATGGAGTTTAGAGACAAAATGTCTTCCCACTCAGTATGTTTTTCTCAAATATTTAATGTTTTCTCCTTAGCAAACAGAACATAATTGTTCACAGCATAGACAATCAGTAGTCAGGGTGAAAGTGTGTTAATCTTTTGTAGTCAGATGTAAAGCTTTATTCTTCATTTATTAATTCTCAAATTTGGTTGCCACATGCATTCTAATGGCAGCACAAAAGAACTTCTCTTTTTTCTGTGGATGTCTGACTCGATGCTAATGGCAGAGTTCAGGTGTTGGCCGAGTGCTGAGGAGCTGGACCTGCCCTTTGGTGGTGGCACCTCCTAGTGGTTAGAGAGCCATGTGCTGTGAAGAAATGTCTTAAGGTCAGTTTTGACAATAGGACAATGTTTTCAGTGCAATATTTTTGGAATAGACTGCCAGGAGAGAAGTGAGACACACCCATAACCCTAGGACCTGGGGGTATTGATCAACAATAAGCTGAACATGAGCCAGCAGTGTGCCCAGGTGGCCAAGAAGGTAAATGGCATCCTGGTTTGTACCAGTAATAGTGTGGCCAGCAGGACTGGGGCAGAGATTGTCTCCCTGTACTCAGCACTGATGAGGCTGTGCCTTAAATCCAAGCATTGGTTTTGGGCCCCTCACTTCAAGAAAGACACTGAGGTGCGGGACAGTGTCCAGAGAAGGGCAATGGAGCTAATGAAGGGTCTGGAGCACATGTCTGATGAGTAGTGGCTGAGTTAGCTGGAGTTATTTAACTTGGAATAAAGGAGTCTCGGGGAGATCTTGTCACTCTCTACACCTACCTGAAAGAAGAGTGTAGCCAGGTGGGGGTCAATCTCTTCTGTCAAGTAACATGTGATGGGATGAGAAGAAGTGGCCTCAAGTTGCACCAAAGGGGGTTTAGATTGGATCTTAACAGTTTCTTCACTGAAAGGGTTATCAAGCATGGGAACAGGCTGCCCAGAGGAATGTTTGAGTCACCATCCCTGGAGGGATTTAAAAGACGTGTAGGTATTTTACTTAGGGACATGGTTTTGTGGAGAACTTGGCAATGCTGGGTTAATTTAACGGTTGGACTTGATGATCTTAGAGGTCTTTTCCAGCCTAAGCAATTCTGTGATTCTATGCCTAGTCCTGCATAGGGAAGGAGGAGCCCCGTGCGGTGCCACAGGCTGGGGCTGGGGCAGGAGCCAGTCCGGCACCCTGGCAGCAGGCACTGTCCTGCACTGGGCCAGCAGGGCATGCCCAGGAGATGAAGGAAGGGATCACCTCCCTCTGCCCAACATGGTCCATGTCCAAATCTGGAATACCTTGAGGTCCGTTCCAATCTGAATTATTCCTTGACATTAAGTTATTGAGAAATAGAGTCTGTGTTATTTAATAGGTAATGAAAATATGCAGTACATAGTAAAGTTGATTTAGATTAATTAGTGCTGTGATTTCTCATGGATTGGTGTAGAATACTTCTAGGTAAAGTGGATGAGTTAAAAGAATAAATAAAAAATTCCAGACTTTTGTGATGCATTAATAGGAAGAACTCACATATCCTATCCCAAGGTAGGA